ACTGCCTGTGCACTCTCAAAATTATTCTTCTTTGCGAAAGCGATCCTACAAAAAGGCATGCCGCCGCGCCGTAGATGCGCAGCAGCCTGTTCCTTACCGAGGCCAACAGTTGACACCTCTCCAGGTGCGAAGATCGGGCAATTGCCCCCCGCGTCTTGCAGGCAGCAGTTCAGGTCGGCCGCCCAGGCCGAGAGCAGGATTGGCCAACAAGGACATTCGAGTCCTCTCCTGGAACGCCGGGCACTTGGGCCAGCAACAGTGGGCAGAGATTAAGTCCTGGCTGCAGACGGACGCCAAGCAGGTCTGCGACATTCTCGTTTTGCAGGAAACTCATTGGCAGGCCTCGGCTGAGTTTTCCGCAGCTGGCTGGTGTTGCATCTCTTCAGCTTCAGAGTATGTTCCAACTGCTGAGGACACAACCCTCGGGGGCTCTGCCCACCAAGCACCCACTGTTCCCGCTGGGGCTCGGCCCAACCAGCCCCGCCCCAAACGCAAAAGTCTCCGCGGCTCGAAGGGCCCTTCTACCACTAAGGCCGATGGGGTGATGGTCCTTCTGTCGCCGGAAGTCTCTTCTAACACTGTCCGTTGGAAGGAGCACGTGACGGGCCGCGTGCTAGAAGTCCGGTTTGAATGGCACGGAGCTCGGACGACTGTCATGGCAGTCTATCAACACGTCTGGTCCCCAGCCAAAACAGTTCAAGCAAACAAGCAGGACAGGGCAGCGGTTCTCAAGTCGCTTGCTCGTTGCGTCAAGCAAGTCCCGGCCCGAGATACGCTTGTAATCGCAGGCGACTTCAATTCGTCTGTTTCCCCCACCCCGCGCCTGGTGGGCCCCCGCACGCTGTCTCCTCAAGAAGCTAGGCCAGATGAAGCGGAACTTACAAACTTTGTGCGAGCCCATCACCTCGCTGTTTTGAACACATGGCAAGCACGCTCACCTCACACATTTGTGCAGGGCGACTCTCGCACTCAGATTGACTTCTTGCTCACCAAGGTCAGCAGCTCCGGTGGCTCGGCCAAACAAGCAGCACCCCTAGCTAACTTTCCTTTAGGCAGCTGGAAGACGGGCGGACATTTACCGCTCTTGGCTAAAATTAAGCCTGTTCGACACTGGCAGCTTCCTGGCCCTCGCGTCAAGCCTTTGAAACATGACTCTGAAGCGCTGCAGCAGGCTGTTAGGCAGGGCCTCCCCGTAGTCATGGACATGCAAAGGTGGGTAAGGGATAACATCCGACACGGCATGACACCTCCCGAGTGGGATGCGCTGTTGTCCAAGGCAACTCAGCTTTTCTTCCCGCAGCAACCCAAAGCGCCCACAGCCGACTCTGAGGACACCGTGATAGCTCGTCGCCTGTGGCGCGCTAGGCGCTCGTCTGTCAACCACAATCATGCCACCGACCCCGCCGAAGCTGCTCTGATACTCCAGCATCAAAAAGCTGTTAAGCAAGCCAGGAAAGCCAAAGCGGATGCTTTTCTAGCCGAGGTGGACGCGGCTATCCACGCGGGGGATCAGTTCGTCGCTTTTAAAGTTTTGAAGCAATTACGCCCTTGGCAGCCATCGCAAAAGGCTCAGCTCAAAGACTCCAAAGGCTTTCTACTCAGCCCAGCTGGCGAACTGGAGGAGCTCCGCAAATACGCGGCGGACGTTTTCGGCAAGTACCCGCGATTGCAGGACAACTTTCACGAGTTACCTCAACTTGCCTCGACCACGTTGGCCAAGCACATTGCCTCCATCAAGCCTGGCAAGGCCGTCCCCAAGGGGCGGCGCCAGCGGCATCCTGGAAGATTTGTGCCCAACCTGTCGCTGAAGCTCTTTCAGCGTACTGCAGCTCCAAGCCACAGGAACAAACCTTGGAAGACGCCCTCTTAAGTGCAGACCTGTGCCTTATCCCAAAACCCGGGAAACCGGCGGACAAACCTACCCAGCTCCGTCCACTTGGCATTCTCAGGCCTGACGCGAAGGGCCTAGCCGGCACCGCTCGAGAACTGCTGACCCCCTATGTCGTCCCTTTCATGAAGCCGCTGCCTCAGTTTGCCTACCTCCCGGGTCACGGACTCTCGGATGCTCAGAGCCGAGTTGTGCAGCATTTACGAGAGGTCAGGCAGATCGGTCGCTCGGCGAAGCCCAGCCGGGAAGACAGAAAGCGGGGACTTGGTCCACCAGCCTTAGTCGGTGGCATCACTTTTGCACTAGACCTATCCCAAGCCTTTGACACTGTTTCGCGCCAGGACATACTTGACCAGCTGCAGGCCCTTTCAGTCGAGCCCGGTCTAATATCGCTCATGCACGGCCTCCACCATTCCTCCAAGTATCGCCTTCACGCGCAGGGCAGTTTTACTGAGGTCGAAACCACCACTGGCATCAAACAGGGATGCAAACTCGCGCCCACCTTGTTTTCCGTGCTTACGGGTCGCCTGCTTCACATGCTCATCGATACCTTTGGGCTAGAAGCGATACAACAACACCTGACCGGATATGCTGACGACATATCCGCTCACAAGACCATCCGCTCCCGCCAGGACTTAAAGGCTGCGCACGACCTGATCCAGGCCTTGTTGGAGGCCGTAGGTCGCTTACGCTTGCGCGTGAATCCAGCCAAATGCTCGATCATGGTGCGACTCACCGGAACTGAGGCGCCTTCCGCCTTCTGTCATGCGGCGCCACACCTGCTGGTTGCCAGACGCCTCAGGTGAGCTCCAAAAGCACTGGAGGATAGGCCCCAACAAAGCCTACCCCGCCTTTCGTCTCGAAGGCAAGATTAAGTATTTGGGCATAATCATCTCCTATGCCAACCACGAAATGCTCACGCTGCGCCACCGTTTGGCTGGGGCGGGCAAGAAAATACAACAGGTTCGTAGATACATCTATAACCGACGCATAGCCAGTCCTGCCGCTCGCCTCCGAGTGTGGTTCGCCGCCGTCTGGGCCACAGCCGTTACAGGCCTGCCTGAGGTTGGACTTTCACCCGAATCAGCTCGACATCTTCGAGGCTGGTACGCTCACAAGCTTCGCTCAGTGTTAAATCAGCCGGCCCATGTCACTCATGTCACGACTGCTGACCTTCTGAAGCTACACAAGCTGCAGGACCCTGTAGACAAAATCATCCGGCGCATGAAGGGCCGTCTCACCAAATTGCGCAAGCGCTCTCGCACTGCGGCAGACGCGGCAGCGGACGTGGCCCTTCACTCCCACATCCTCATCGACCTTGAGAACATCTTGCGGGAGGCCCAAGAAATCCCAGCCGCTACTCAGGCTGCCGTGCAGCCAGCTCATCACTGCCACATTTGCAGGGCTGCCTTCGACACCGAGCATGGTCTCCGCATGCACGCCTCCAAAATGCACAGAGACACACTGTCTCACTTTATCCCCCCTGTTTTTGACAGAGAACTTCATGCCAAGGACGGCATGCCGGTGTGCGCCGCATGCAACAAGTCCTTCAGACAGTGGAAGGGTTTGCGCGACCATTCTTCTGTCTGGAGCTTGCTCCGCACCGGACGCTTTGCGTACTATCACCTCCACGGGGACTCTTTCCAGTTCGAGCTCCGATATCTTGCAGATACAGGAGCTCCGAAGGGGAGGTACAGAGTTCAGCAAGCGCGCAGCTTGCGAGACAGGCGGCACTGCCCTCAGCCCAAATACTCCAGAACCGCTGCGTGATCTGTGGCTTCTGGACACCTGATCACACCAAGGTCAAGTCTCACCTACGTCAGGCACACCCGCAGGTATGGCAGGAAGTCGGCGACGCGGCTGGCAGGCTGTGTGCGGGTCACTCGGCACAAACCATCAAAGGTCAGTCCTGCCCTTTTTGCAGACGTAAGGTACACGACAAGAAGAAGCACCCACAACAGTGCGTGGTTCTTTTCCAGGTATGCTTATGCTGGCTACGGACACACCCTCCCTCGAAACACCGGGGACCTGGTCCATCTGCCCAGCCTGCCGCGGGGACTCGGTCCTTGAAAGACTTCTTTGCCCCGCAAGCACCCAAAACCCCGGTGGCCTCTCTACGAGCGGAGCCGCCGCGGCCACCTGAGCTGCCCCGCTCCTCTGCGACAAGAGGCGACGTTGTAGCATCAAGTCATAGCATTGCTGTACGCACCATGTTAAACTCGGGCAACTCCTGCTATGTCAACGCGACACTGCAGGCCTTAGCAGTCTTAAACACTGGCTGCTTTGCTTTTGAATCGCTACAACCACTCCTTGATCTCTGTGCTTCCCATGCCTCCGATGAGCGACCACTAAACCCCACTGGTCTGTTTCAGCTGCGCAGCCTCCTTCCCCGATGGAGATTTGACGGCAGGCAGCAAGACGCCTCTGAGTTCTTTACCATGCTCACATCTCAGGGAGCCGGAGACCTGCAGGCAGTACAGTGGCAGGGCCGCACGGATGGCTTGGTTGAACCCGCTGATGTAGGAGAATCACCTCTCCTGATGCCCCAGTCACCAGACCACGATTGTTTGGCACAGGTAGCGAACGCCTGGAGTGAAGGCGGCTTTCAGAGAGGGCTTCTGTGGGCACCTCCGCTGCTAGCCGTGGTCTTAGGTCGCTGGTCGGGTGGCCACAAGATACACACATCTGTCCGACTTTCGGAGGTCAGCATTCCGGTCTGGGGAGAGGGACAGTTTCGAACGTGGCACACTTATAATGTCCGAGCGGGTGTCTTTCACATAGGCGCGGAGGTTACATCCGGCCACTACCGCTCTTTCTGGTACTGCTCGGAATCTGGCGCCCTGCTGACAGGAGATGACGCCGTGCGCCCGACCCAAGCCTCGGCCTCAGACACCAAGCGAGTTAAAGAAGGATCGTTTTTGCTCATATTGGTCAGACAGTGAATCCTACAACTGTGGGTGCTGGCCCGTATCTTTTTGCATTTTAATTCATCCCATTACGCACGGGTGCCCGTGCGTGGGAAGGCCGGACCCCACTATAAGTG